CCACCATGTTCTACCGACTGAAACGCAAATTCTAGTCAAACCTCCAACCTGAAGGACCAGGAGACTGATTTTCGTTCGACCTTCCAGACATGATTAGATCTGCAGCTTGGCAAAAGCCATACTATGTAGCTCGTTGGGTCAGAGCAATGCACAAGCCATCACACCACGTCAAGGTGCGGTCTCATCGTGATCAGACTTCTCTTTATTTGTACAAAATGACTCCTCTATATTTTGTGCTAACCTGACTGAATATTTGAAGTTCTGTCATGATACGTGTTGCCCGTGGGAAATGTTATACGTACGGTCAGACCGTTTTTTGTTCCCTACGCTTGAACGATTACGTNCTCTTTGGTGAGAGACCACTCCAAAGCAATTAAGGCGGGACTGCGTAGATTAAACGCCGCTTATGTACATGCACTGCTGACCAGCAGGAATTGTCGCGATGTATGGAAAGTGTTTCAGTTATGCAGTCTCCAAACGAAGGAGAATCTGCAGCTGCCAACGTGGGCGATCTCAATCGTCAATTCAGCAATGCTGAAACTGACATCCCTCTACCATGCACAGCAGCCGTCCCTGCTCTTAAGGTTGGTAATTTAATTACAGATCAAACAGAAGTATTCAAAACTTTCATTAGCCTGAGACCTAAAAAGCATGAGGTCCTGTTGGACTGCCACACGTGGTGCTCAAAGGATGTGCAGTTTCCCTTTCCCCTGTCCTCACCGACCTAATCAACGTGTGTTTTGTTCAGCATTGCTTTCCGGACTGCAGGAGAGTGGCTTCTATCACGCCAGAGAGAAGACATCTAAATTTCGCCGAATGGTTGCATTTCTGTTTCTTTTGAAATCCTGGAAAAGATTTTACTACAGAAGATGTCCCAGCTGAAAGTTCCTGATCCCACTCAATCCGTCTATCGCAGTTCCAGATCAACCATCGATGCGTTGGGATCCCTTATTCATTGTATTCCTTCCTCCTTGGACAGAAAATCTAAAGCTCTTCGGCTGTTTCTTTGATTATAGTGACGCCTTGAATTGTTTTGATAGGCCCAAACTTCTTCACACTCTGCTAAGGGTATTCAGCTGGAGCTTACCGATCTGTTACGTAATTATTTCACCTGTCGATTACGGTTTACTAAATATAAGGATCGCAACTCTTCACTTTTACCCTCCACTCAAGTTCTTCAAGGTACTGTTCTCTCTTGTTCACGACCTATATTTCTTCCATGCCTGCTTTTGATGATTGTTTACCCATTAAGTATACCAACGATTTTGTGTATAGCATGAAGTTTTCGCATTCTTCCGTGTACCCCAAACTTATGCAGAATATTTCACTGCTCATCGACTGGTCTTCACAACACAATCTTGGAATGAATCCTTCCAAGTGTAATAATTTTTTATTTTCTTTGCTGAAGGGTGATCACTATATTGATGTGATGAACTCTTGTCAGCATGTTATTATCAATGGTGAACAAGTTTCCAGGGCATGCTCCGTCAAATATCTTGGAGTTACCATTTCCCGCAATCTTTCTTAGTCTCCTCACGTCATCCAGACATTTCACAAAGTCAGAAAACTCACATTTTACATTATTCGTTTGAAAATGCTATCTACCCCAACTCACTTAATAAAGCGTTTTGTTTTCTCTTGTATCCTTCCCCACTGGTTTTATGCATCCCCAGTTATTTTTCCGGGTCTTTTAATTAAAGACTTCAAACTCATACGTACATCCATCTACACGTCCGTCGATACAGTGGTATATCTCGCGAGCATGTTGTGCAGTTTATTATTTCACAGCACTTTAGGGCTTGCCAGAAACTTTCCATCAGAATACTACTAAACACATCTCACCCACCTTACTCTCACCTTAGTAAATGTATCTCTGCATCTAGCACTCGCTCCAAGTAGAAGCATGTAGCAGCACGCACCACAACATACAAGTCCTCCGTAATACCGTATTTGGCACGGTTTCTTACTGACGCCGATCTTGTCATTGGGATCCTTGAAAACTTTGCTAAATTTCCCTTATTTGTTTGTGTATGCAGCGTATCATCATCTTTTTTTACCATGCCATTTCCACAGAAGAGTAATTGTGTACTAACTGAATGTTTTTCTCCTATGGGGCATAAAAAAGCCGCTTCTTGACTTGACTTCTAGTTTTGTTTCTCTCAAGTGCTAGTGGGAGGACTGACAGTTAAATTAAAATAGTCTGCCACCACTCACCTGTAAGTTTATTCTCTTATATCTCCGATTCCCTCTTATATCAATTCGTAGATTTAATCTTTATTTGTTTGCTCTTCAGCCATGCCGTTGCCGAGTAAGGCTCGGGTGTATGCCGAGGTGAATTTGAATCGACCACGTGAGTATTGGGATTATGAATCATACGAAGTGAAATGGGGGTAAGTGCTTATCATTCTGTACGATCATCACGCTCATGTAGTGATCAAGACGATTATCAAATCGTCCGGAAACTGGGTCGCGGTAAATACAGCGAAGTGTTCGAGGGTATCAACATCACTACGAATGCGAAATGTGTAATAAAAGTGCTCAAGGTAAGACTGCTCGTTCGTCGAATTCAATTCACTCGTGCAGCCAGTTAAAAAGAAAAAGATCAAACGAGAAATCAAGATTTTGGAGAATCTCCGAGGCATAACAAACATCATCACACTGGAAGCGGTTGTGAAAGATCCGGTGGTATGTATTCTGAGAAATGTTTTACGAATGTTTTGCTCAATCTGTTTTGATATCGTACCAGACACGTACACCTGCTCTTATTTTCGAACATGTTGAAAATCGGGATTTCAAAGAACTCTACCACACCCTGACTGATTACGATATTCGATACTATATGTTTGAACTGCTTCGTGCTCTCGACGCTTGTCACAGTATGGGGATTATGCACCGTGATGTAAAGCCGCATAACGTGATGATCAATCATCCACAACGACAGGTAGGCTCTTCCCCTGCGACCAACTTGTCAACTCCCTCCTTTCGTCGCTTCTAGCTCCGTCTGATTGATTGGGGCCTAGCTGAATTCTATCATCCCGGTCAGGAATACAATGTACGGGTCGCATCACGATACTTCAAAGGCCCCGAATTACTGGTCGATTACCAGGTAGGTGTTGATTTCGTGCATTTGTTCGGATTTCGGAACTTCCCTCCCCTTTCCTCTTTGTGCCGGTCTAGATGTACGACTATTCCCTTGATCTGTGGTCTCTGGGTTGTGTTTTCGCCAGTATGATTTTCCGCAAAGAGCCTTTCTTTCACGGACACGACAACTATGATCAACTAGTCCGGATTGCCAAAGTCCTCGGCACGGATGAACTGTTCCAATATTTGTCCAAGTACGATATCGATTTGGATTCCCGCTTCAATGAGATTCTGGGTCGACATACAAAAAAACGATGGGAACGTTTCGTGCATGCTGAAAATCAACATCTGGTCAGTCCAGAAGCGTTAGATTTTTTGGACAAACTGCTCCGTTACGATCACGCCGAACGGCTAACCGCGCGTGAGGCCATGGAACACCCGTATTTCTGTAAGTTCCTTCATTAATTCACCACTGACGCATTTTCTGATCTGTACGTAACCGTTTTTTTCCAGACGGTATTGTACAAGAACACGGTGGCCGTATCCCGGTAGCAACCGGTGCACAGACAAACTGCAATGCAACCAACACAAATAATGCGAA